CACCTCGGAGCAAAGCAGAACATGAGGCTGGAGAACAGTGAAGAGTGTTCTGTTCAGGTTTCTAGTGAATCAGAATTCTTGTCAGAACAGAAGCTAGGGCCGAATTTCTCATGAAAAGTTCATTTTCTGCTTCCTCAGAGTGGAAGACATATGCCCCGATAGTTGGAGATGCTAGGAACTGAATATGATACCTTGTTCATGCCATGGAAGTTTATATAGCAGTTCTCCAGAAGAATACCTTTTAGTTAGTTCCAAGTTGGAGATTTTGATAGCTGTAACTATTTTGGTAGTGCAATTGGGCAATTATAGATCATGGAAACAATTATCTTGAAGAGGCATTTGGTAAGGGATGTACAACCATTTCATTAAAAAAGGATGAGAAATTGGCTCTGATCTCCAGGCATCTCCATGCTGTCCTCATTTTGCTGCAAGAGCCCAGAGCTCTATCCTGAAATCTTAAACACAGGTGAAACTCAAAAAGTTAGAATATTGTACAAAAGTTCATTTATTTCAGTAATGCAACTTAAAAGGTGAAACTAATATATGAGATAGACTCATTACATGCAAAGCAAGATAGTTCAGGCCGTGATTTGTCATAATTGTGATGATTATGGCTTACAGCTCATGAAAACCCCAAATCCACAGTCTCAGAAAATTAGAATATTACATGCAATCAATAAAACAAGGATTCTCCATAGAACAATATCGGACCTCTGAAAAGTATAAGCATGCAGATGTACTCAGTACTTGGTTTGGGCCTCTTTCGCAGCAATTACTGCCTCAATGCGGCGTGGCATGGAAGCTATCAGCCTGTGGCACTGCTGAGGTGTTATGGAAGACCAGGATGCTTCAATAACGGCCTTCAGCTCTTCTGCATTGTTCGGTCTCATGTCTCTCATCTTTCTCTTGGCAATGCCCCATAGATTCTCTATGGGGTTCAGGTCAGGTGAGTTTGCTGGCCAATCAATCAATCACAGTAATCCCACGGTCATTGAACCAGGTTTGGGTGCTTTTGGCAGTGTGGGCAGGTGCCAAGTCCTGCTGGAAAATGAAGTCAGCATCCCCATAAAGCTCGTCTGCAGAAGGAAGCATGAAGTGCTCCAAAATCTCCTGATAGATGGCTGCATTGACCCTGGACTTAATGAAGCACAGTGAACCAACACCAGCAGATAACATGGCTCCCCAAATCAACACAGACTGTGGAAACTTCACACTGGACTTCAAGCATCTTGCAGTGTGTGCCTCTCCATTCTACCCCCAGACTCTGGGTCCTTGGTTTCCAAATGAGATGTAAAAATTGCTCTCATCAGAAAAGAGGACTTTGGACCACTGAGCAACAGACCAGTTCTGTTTTTCTTTTGCCCAGGTAAGACGCTTCTGACGTTGTTTGTTGTTCAGGAGCGGCTTCACAAGAGGAATACGACATTTGAAGCCCATGTTCAGGATCCGTCTGTGTGTGGTGGCTCTTGATGCACTGACTCCAGCCTCAGTCCACTCCTTGTGAAAGTCTCCAACACTTTTGAATGGCCTTTTCCTGACAATCCTCTCCAGGCTGCAGTCATCCCTGCTGCTTGTGCATCTTTTTCTTCCACACTTTTCCCTTCCACAGAACTTTCTATTAATGTGTTTTGATACAGCACTTTGGGAACCTCCAACTTCTTTTGCAATTCCCTCTTGAGGCTTTCCCTCCTTATGGAGGGTGTCAGTGATGGTTTTCTGCACAACTGTCAGGTCAGCAGTCTTTCCCATGATTGTGCTTTCTACTGAACCAGACTGAGAGACCATTTAAAGGCTCAGGAACCCTTTGCAGGTGTTATGGCTTAATTAGCTGATTAGAGAGGGACACTTTGAGCCTAGAATATTGAACCTTTTCACAATATTCTAATTTTCTGAGACTGTGGATTTGGGGTTTTCATGAGCTGTAAGCCATAATCATCACAATTATGACAAATCATGGCTTGAATTATCTTGCTTTGCATGTAATGAGTCTATCTCATATATTAGTTTCACCTTTTAAGGTGCATTACTGAAATAAATGAACTTTTGCATGATATTCTAATTTTTCGAGTTTCACCTGTATTTAGTAAGTTAAGTGTTCAGTGTTAGCATAACCACCTAAAGCATGTAAAGTAATAAACCAGGTTGCTCCTTTTCTTGAAACTAGACCTTTTCATGCAGTCATTACTCTATATGTATACCCACAAGCACCACACAGTCAATACAGCTGAAAAGGGAGTTTGAAACAAAATCAGGTTAGAAATGTATATATGAAAGATAGTTGTATTGGACTGATCAGTTGAAAAAAAAAACCCCAAAACAGGATAAGGGTGGTCCAGAGAAATCGGACAGCCATTTGAAAACCTCTTTCAAAAAGATATACTCCTTTTTGTTCCCTTAAGATGAATTGCTTGTCCTAAGGTGGCACCTACTACAAACATGGCCAATATGCAAAATATTTCTGCATCTTCCTTTAAAAGCAGTGTTTTTGTGGGCATTGTGCTTTTTACACAGCATTTGGGAATTTTCCTAGAGTTTTCCAGAGTGCTCTATGCACTTTTTAGGCTGGGAAATACTGCTCAACTAAGCAGGAACACTGCCTTTTTTTGAAGAATGTTTCAGTTGCTGCTTTTTTCAGCAGTCAAACCTCAGCCACTTTGCTGCCAATTTTTAAATATTCTCCAAAGAAAATCAATGAAATTATTAATTGGCTGAAACATCTGGGTTGATTCTAAAGCTCAACTTCCATAAATTTTATTTAAGTTGAAGCCAAAGTATTGTAGAGAAGAACCAAATAATCTTTTTACTGATAAACCTGTCTTCAGTCTTAATTTCCTAGCATCTGGAGATGAATATGCCCCAGTTGTCTATACTTGCATCGCATTGAAGTGAGAGTCTGTTTGCCTTAAATACAGAGATGCAGAAAAACAAAATTCCTAAAGCCAAGGGTTCTATAGAACCATTTACAGTGTTTGAAGGGTCTCATATTTCTTATTTTCATTTAGAATGAGAATAAGCAATACATAAAAATTAAAAGTTGATATTGAAGTAGAATGATTTTTAGAGCTTCTTCCCCAGCCTGCCTGCTAAAAAATGTTCCAGTGCATTTGGTGTTCTTGCGTTGTCAAATCTCCTTTATTCTCTTTTCTTTCCCCCCTTTCTCTCCCCACAGATCAAGGAGTCCCAGCTGGACAGTCTCACAATGAAAGACACACATCCTCTAGCATTAGTCCTTGACTTACTACTCTCACATCACCAGCCAGACTTTCAAGTGGTTACCCCACCTCCTGCCACTTAGTTCTTTAAAAATGCATCTGGAGGTTAATGCCATTTTTCCTGGTAACAGAGAAATGAACTACAGGTAGTCCTCATTTAGTGACCATGATTGGAACTGGTAACTTGGTTAAGTGGTTACTAAGTGAAACTGATTGTGCTTATCTTACTTTAGCTTTCCTTTGCTTTACAGACCTGCAAAGGTGATGTGAAGATTGGTTGCAAAGTTACTTTTTCATCAGTGTCATAACTGAATGGGTGCTGAATGAGGCAGCTACTAAAGAAGGACTACCTGTATACTTCTGCTGCCTGTAGAAGTGTCATCTGAAGGGCTGCAGGAACCTGGCACTCTTTGCTGTCCTACCACTTACAACCCTCCCTGTGAGGCTGAAAAAGTTTGCATGGATAACTAATCTGTATTCTGCAGCTTATCCCTTAACCCAGGTATCCCCAACCCCTGGGCCACAGACGGTACTGGTCTGGGGCCTGTTAGGAACAGGCCACATGCACAGCTGGAGATAAGCAGCAGGTGAGGAGCAAAGCTTCATCTGTATTTGCAGCCATTCCCCAGCGCTAGTGTCACCACCTCAGCTCTACCTCATCATTGGGCATTAAATTATCATAGGAGCGCAAACCCTACTGTAAACTGCACATGTGAGGGGTCTAGGTTGTGCACTCCTTGTAAGAATCTAATACCTGATGATGTGAGGTAAAGTTGTGACAGTGATGCTAGCACTGGGGAGTGGCTGCAAATACAGATTATCATTAGCAGAGCGGTTTGACTGCACAGAGACTATAATAAATCAATTGCTTACAGACTCATATCAAAACTCTATCAGTGAGGGGCAAGTGACAAGTTGCATCTGGTGGCGGGCTTTATTGAACATCTTACTTCAATTGTAAAGCTGCATCTGGTGACAGGCTTTGCCAGAACCCAACATTTTTTTTTAGTCTATCCATTTGATTTACCCATTATTTTATTTACCACTTCCATCTGCTCCTCTTTCCTACATTGTGCACTTGTCTCAGTCACAGTTTTGGTAAGCCCACAAGCTAACCCTAGGCAAAATGAGTAAAAAACAAACACTGCTGGAGAGTTCCTTTGAAAAGGGGGAAACACCCAATGATGAGACAGCAGAAGACTCTAAGACTGCCAACAAAAAGAAAGCTGCATTTAAAAGAAAATACCAAGAGTTAAATCATTGCAGCAGGTGATTCACATTCTCAAAGCCTGCTTTGTATAATATGTGGCAATCAGCTATCCAGTGAAGCCATGAAACCTTCAAAACTGCTTCTTTGCCACATGGAGGCCAAGCACCCTACATTAAAAGATAAGCCTTGGGAGATTTTCAAAAGAAAAAAAAACAGGAACATGAAGAACAGAAGCAATTATTGAAGGCTACCACTTCATCAAATGTGTCTGCACTGAGAGTATCATTCTTAGTGGCTAACTGCATTGCTAAGAAGCCCTGTACTATTGGTGAAGAGTAGAACCTGCCTGCTGCTAAGGACATTTGTTGTGAATTTCTAGGAGAGGCTTCAGTTCAAAAGCTGGCACATGTTCCTCTTTCGGCTAGCACCATAACTAGACAAATTGATGAAATAGCAGAGGATATTGAGGCACAATTGTTAGGATTAATAAGTCACTGTGGTATGCAATCCACGTTCATGAGTCTACCAATGTTGACAACAAGGCAACAATGCTCATTTTTGTGTGATATATTTTTTAGGAGGGTGTGCATGAGGATAAGTTATGTGCACTTTTGTTGCCAACCAACACTGCAGCTGCAGAACTGTTCAAGTCTTTGAATGATTACCTATCAAGAAAACTGAATTCATCATTTTGTGTTGGTATATGCATGGATGGAGCAGCTGCCATGACTGGACAGCTTTCCGGTTTCACTCCTCTGGTCAAGGAACTCACTTCTGAATGTGAGTCTATGCACTGTGCCATCCATAGGGAAATATTGGCTAGCCGAAAAAATGTCACCTGAACTTAACAACTTTCTGTAGGATGTGATTAAAATTATTAACCGCATTAAATACATGCCCTTAACTCACATCTGTTTGTGCAGCTCTGTAAGGAGATGGATGCAGAGCACTCCTGTCTTCTATTATACACAGAAGCGAAATGGCTTTCTGAAGGTAGATCACTGGCTAGAGATTTTGAGTTACAAGAGCTGCTCCAAAGATTTCTTTTAAAAAAACAGTCACCACTGGCAGCACATTTCAATGGCGCAGAATGGGTCACAAAACTTGCTTACTTATGTGATATATTCAACTTGCTCAACATACTCAATCTGTCACTTCAGGGGGAGAACGACAACTGTTCAAGTCGGCAGATAAAGTGGCTGCATTCAAAGCTAAATGAGTTACAGGGTAATAAGTGAACACTGGGATTTTTGACATGTTTCAAACATTAGCAGAGATTTTGAAAGAGATTGAGCCAGGGCCTTCTTTCTCCCAGATGGTGCATGATCACCTATCTCAGCTTACAAAAGAGTTTGAGCATTACTTCCCAACCACAAAAGACACCCGAATTGGGAAGGAATGGGTCCACAACCCATTTGTGAATAAGCCAGGTGAATCAACTTCATCCATACTAGAAGAGGATCAACTGCTTGAGATTGCAAATGACGGTGGCCTTAAAAGTATGTTTGAGAGAACTTCAAATTTCCATACATTTTGGATTAAAGTTCTGGATTAAAGTCAAGAGAGAATATCCTGAGATTGCCACAAAAGCACTGAAAAGACTGTTTACATTTCTAGCATCATATCTTTGTGAAGCAAGGTTTTCTGTAGTGACAGCAACCAAAATGAGGTTACAGAGTAGACTGGACATAAGCAACACACTTTGGGTGTCACTGCCTCCCATCACGCACCATATGGGACTGTCTAGTAGAGCTCCTACTGATTCTGCATTTTGGTGAGTTGTATAATTATTATATATTACAATGTAGTAATAGAAATAAAGTTCACAATAAATGTAATATGCTTGAATCATCCTAAAACCATCCCCCCTCCCCTTCTGTGGAAAAATTGTCTTCCATAAAACCAGTCCCTGGTGCCAAAAAGATTGGGGACCACTGCCTTAACCCTCCCGGAAGCCCAAAACACATATCTCAAATAATTCTACTTTCATTACTTTGTTCCCAAACCCTACCTTCATTTAGAAATAAAACCCTTCCTCCCTTTTCTTAATTTTAAGGGTGGGGGTTGAGCCAAGTTTGCCTTGTTCCCTGTCCTGTAGGTGCAGCACCCACTTTGGCAGCCCAGGATCCTTATGAAATTATGTATTTATTTAGGTAGCGTAAGAAAAATGAATGTCATCCATAGCCATGTTCTGCACTTTTTGTAGATAACAAAAACACAGGCCTTGAAAAAGCTGAGGCATTCTGATGCTGCCAGAAGACCTTGCTGAGGCCAAAACTAGTCAACATGCAATATTTATCTCAATGGGTATGTTATTATGGCACATCTAACAAAGTGATTGTTGAAATCAACATTTATTTTAACCTTACCATACCATAAGTAGGTGTGCCATCCAAATCTTAATTCATGGCCCTTCAGATCAAGTAATCTTTTGTTTTGGAGAGTTGCCTACTCTTTAAGACAGACCAAACAACAAGCATCAAAGTACAATTTCAAATCTGGTAAACCCAAACATACTCTTTCTCTAGCATCTAACAGTAATTTATACCTACTTCTTGGTTTTTTCTCTTGCCATAGGAACTCAGAAAGTTACTTGGTTATAAATATTGGTAAAGTCTGAAACAGAAATAGCATCTGTGGTAAAACATTTGTCTCAATTACAGACATTCTACCCAATAAAGATAGTTGCAATTCATCCAATCTTAATAGGTCTTTGATATCATTCCACAGGGGCACAAAATTGTTTTGAAACCATTTAGAATTTGTGTTTGTCAGTGTAACCCCAGGGTACTTCACTTTTCTCCACCTTGAAGCGCAACTTTTTGGTCAATATTTCATAGTTCTGAGAGGTCACTGTTGCAGGAAATTACAAGACTCAGACCTTGGAATCCAAAAATAAGTTTTATTTGTGCAAAGGTTCAGAGCAATTTAGCCAAAGCAACATCTGAACAACTTCCTAGAGATTTTACACTCACATATATTCACTTCAAAAGTAGTAAACCACGGAAATGTAACTTGTCATTCATCCATTGGTTACTTGAAACACAGCCCGTTGTTGCTAGGTTAGAGTAGCAAGATGTCACAAATGCTTTGCTAACCCCTCTTGCTAAACCATCTAGCTTCCTGTAGCTCCATTTGTGGTTTTGTTGCAAGTGTGGAAAGGGAACTTCATGAGGACAGTGGTGATACCCAAGCAGGAA